CAAAACGAGGATTCAAGATGGAAAACCACAACTATGTCCATACCATTGTCCTCGGTCGCCCTTGGACTGGAGGGTGGCAGAGGTCTAGGGCCTTTCTGAGAGGATAACAAGATTTACCGAGGGGCTCTGTCCAGAAGGACTCAAAGACCTCTTAGAGAACGCAGCCTTGGAAAATATCAGCTTAGTTACAAGTTGAAAGTTGCCTGCGATGTGTGGGGGGAATTTGTTTTAATCAGAGCTTCAATTAGAAGCCACCTCATTCTGTGAGCAGATGGAGACCCCATTACTTCCCCCACACTCTGAAGCCCCCACCCCCACTGTTATTACTCTCTTTCCCAGGTCCCTCTCTGCATCCTTCCCTACCCGAGGACCCGAGTGTGAGAAAGATGCATGGCACAGAGTGGAAAGAACTTGAATTTTGAAATCTGAACCACCTGGGCTGTGACACGTTCACCTCTCCGAGCTGTGCTCTTTCCACTGGTCACATTAAGCTAAGGTCCTGCTACAGAAGTGTGTCGTCGGTGAAGTGCAGCGTGGTCTATGAGGCTGAGCTGAGCTAATGCTGGCAGAGTCAGAGACGCGCTTACTCGTACTCCTCCCGAACTCCGTCCCAGCAAAGAAAATGTCCTGCTGTTCCTAAGGGGCTTCTAGACGCACACAGTGGCCTGAGCCGACTTACTTGCCAAGGCCTCTTAAATGTGGTGGTGTGTGTGGCAAAAAAAAAAAAAAAAAATCTAATCTGATACTTGTTAACCCTTTTCAGAACTCTGATCGAGGACTTTAAATACTCAAGTCTTCCTAAATGGGAACTCCGATTCTGGTGGGAGTCTCCCCATCCACCTCATAAGCTTCAAGCACTGGCCTCTTTTCCTAAATGTGATGAGGACTGCAGATAAAAGCTGGCACCTAACCTGATCAAAAGGTTTCAGTTCTGTTCCTTTGGATCAGCGGGCACCACGGGGACAGAACCTGAGGTTCTCAGGTGCCACGCTGGGCAGAGCTTTTCTAGGACCCAAGATCATCAGATTATCAGGGACATTTAAAAAGCATTCTTTTCTATTTATAAAATGAGCTTTGTTTGACTTTTTAAAAATTAGATTATCTTTGAAGTACTCGCTCCTGAATTCTAAGCTGTTATATTTGTTAAATCTGGTAATGTTAACGGGGGAAATGCTTGCTTTGGTAGAGATGACATTGTGTGTGTGTGTGTGTGTGTGTGTAATGACGATGATGATGATGATGATGATGATGATGATGATGATGATTCAGAGGTAGCTTACTCTAAACCAGATGTCAATTTTTTTCCCGCTTGAGACAAGGCCATTGGAAAGCAAGGACACCTACCTACCTGTGTGTTATCAGATGGTCAGATCAGGGCCAGAGCCCAGATAAAATTCAGTAAATCCCAGCAAAAGGAACTTCGTTCAGTTTAATCCCCTTAGTTTCATGGGGCAAGTTAAATGACAAGATCAAAATCAACCCAAGAAGAATATTTTCATGAACAATTACTAATTTTTATCTTTCAAAATGAATTTGTGGCTGGTCCCTGGGACCGAGGAAATTCAGAAGCTAAGTGCCTGGGAAAATGGATTTGCTTCCGTTGTTCATAGTTCATCCTCTCTCTCTCTCTCCCTCCCTCCTTCCCTTTCTTCCTCCCTCTTTCTCCCTCCCTCTCTCTCTCAGCCTGCACTTACAAAAACCAGGAGTGCCGTTTGGCCATACATTACGACAACGGATTTTCTATTACCACTGAACCACAGGACGGTGCCTTTGCCAAGACAATCATACAGGCTCCGTATGAAAAGCTGAAAATGTCTTCAGATGATGGAATCAGAATGCTGTATTTAGATTTTGGAGGCAAAGATGGAGAGATCGTAAGTGCGCTTTTTTTTAGAAAGGGTAATTTTGTATATCACGATATGTGACATACCTATAATGGCTCAAAAACACAACGGTGCCTTGCATGTATTCAGCATTTGACTATTAACGAAGTTCTTGCAGGTTCATGTCTTACTCGATCCTTGAAAAACAGTGATCGGATCCAATTTTTTTCAGTTCTTAACTTTGGTCTCATTTTCCACTAGAATCCTACCTAAATATTTGAATCAAAGGAAATAATCCTTTACAAAGTCAGCATTAAATTCTTCTCAGATAGGGTCCCACCAGGTTCAGATTATACCTTTTTTTTTTTTTTTACGTTTTAAGCATCTTATCTAACCTCGCTCAGTATTGTGTTAGGTGTCAGGGATGCAGCGATGTAAAATATGCAGTCCCGGCCTCCTGGATGGTCTCAGAGGAGCAGAGAGCATAGAGAGCGAGAGGTGGGTAGGAGGGGCTGGATGAGGGGGCCGCGGGGGAACAAAGACTGGTCAGCTCTACCCAAGAGGGGAGAAGGCCAGACAAAGGCCCAGAAGTTTTGGGCTAATGTCAAATAATGTCCAACAAAACAAGCGGATTTGTGAGTTACGGCAACATTTGTACTTTCCATATCAATGCAAATAGCTCCTGTGTTAATTCAGTTTCCTGTGACCGTTACTGCCCACCGTAATGAAAAGGTGTATTCGTTCAGTTCCACTGATGGGTGAGAACTGCATGTTCTTCTGCTTTCTAGCAAGAGTAGTTCTTGACTTTCCTCAGGAAGACATAGCATCTCATTTAAACCGTGGAATGTAGAACTTCGAAGAGGACCTTGATTTTACAATAAGCATTCTATGTGTAGGTTGATAACTAATCACTGGGTTAGTCAACAAACATTTATTGACTTATACTTGGTAACAGGGAGGGGGGAATATATAAAATGAAGAGGTAAATCTCAATTTTAAAGATCCAGTAATTTCGGTTCACCTTCTGGCCTTCTACACTCCCTCCTTCCCCAAACCCCATCTCCACAGTTATTTCCTTCATTTCTGCCGTGGGACTTTATTGATCATTCTCTGAAAACCAATGAACGTTACCTAGTAAGGGATGACTGAAAGGGCCAGGACCACACTTAGAATTTTGAGTATCAGGGCCTTTCGTCTCAAAGTTTCAGCACCACTGGTCTAAAACACGTGATGCTACTGGCCTCAGCACAGAACCAGACTTCTTACTATGGGTGCCATAGGCAGTCACGATGAAGTTGACATCTTGTAGCTGACAGCTGATCTGAAATTACTTTCTGAGAACATTTTCCAGCTAGTCATTCTTCTCTCTTTTAGAACTAATCACCAATTGTCTTGGGCAAGTACTTTAACTCCTTTGGGTCTGAGTCTCCTCACCCATAAAGTACAAGGATTGAAGTTGGTCATGTTTAAGGTGCCTTCCAAAAGTTGCGTTCTGTGTTAGTGAAATAGAATACTGTGAAGTCCTGACTCTGGCATCAGATAGAATTGCATTTGGGTCCATGCTTTCTCTATCCTGTATGATCTATGATCTCAGAAAGTTTTATAACTTCTCCAAATCTTAGTTTCTCATAGAAAACAGAGATAATAATAATAGCTATCCCATAGAGATTTTGTGAGAGTTAAATAAGATAGTGTATAGAAAATATTTAGCACGGTGCCTGGTTCATGATGTGTAAAACCTTGACTTTGCCAAATACTATACATTCAGGTTATTATTTTCCAGTATTTCATCATCAGAACAGAATTGGGGATGGCAAATGAGAATTGAGAATAACCTTCCAGTTCTCCTGAATTAGATCAGGTGATCAAAATTCAACCTGACTCTGATGCTCTGGCCATATGCTGGGAGATGAGGCTTTAGAAGGGGCCTTGACAGACACGTGAGGTACATGCTTACAGCAATTCAAGAGTACAGGACAGTGAGGACACAGCTGCTTAGCAGCATGAGTTCTGTGTTTTGGAGTTTTTAAGAAAATTTCACATACAGTATCTCATTTAATACTCTGATTATCCTGTGAGTCAGGTAGGATCGAAAAAAATTTTAAGTGACTCCAAGGTTCTACATCAAAAAGCGTTAGAGCCAGGACTCAAACCTAATCTTCAGATGTGAAATTTAGTACTACTTCATGCCGTACCTCATCCAACACAAGCATCACGATTGTGATACCAAAAATAGTTTAGACAGTCAAGAAAGGCAACATCAGTGTTTATGCCATTGGTATACATAATTTTACAGAACCCATTTCGAAAAAAAAAGTGATAGATGAGATGTAAGGAATAAGTTCAAAGAGTTGTTTTTTTTTTTTTTTAATCTCATTGAGGGGCAAGGATTTAAAAACATGAATTGTTCCAGTTAACTATTAAAAGCAGGAAGTGTACAGATCCGTTTGATGTGTAAATCTCTATTCTGTATCAAGCATTAATTTAAAATGTCTCATGCTCTCTTTTTAAATTTCAGCAACTGGACCTTCATTCCTGCCCCAAGCCAATCGTTTTCATCATTCATTCCTTCCTGTCAGCTAAAATTACAAGACTGGGCTTGGTGGCCTGAACAGAGGGGTGACTTGCCTTTGCGATGCCACCAGAAAGTGTGCCATCAGACACCATTTGCAGTGAGCGATGCGCCAGATGTCATATGCCACAGTCAGCTTTAGATCCCAAGAGTCCTGCTTAACTGTCCCAGACTGCTCTGTCAATTTCACCAACTACAAGGGGATACCCTAGGAAAACACAAGAAATATCAGAATAAAACTTGTCTTTTTAGAACAGTCAGTGGGTAAAGAGGAGAGGGTGACTGGAAGTACACAGCATAGCTTTTGACAATCACGGATGTGAACATTAGAACAGCATGTGCAGATGTAAATCATACCAGTGTCTAGGCTACTGGCTCACCCGGGTAAGCAGGGCTGGACAGACGAGAAATGGACGTTTTCACCTCTCTCCTCCCCAGTAACAATGACCCCTTGTTTTGTTGTGATTTATTTCCTACTTCTCAGTTGACTTTCGCTAGTAAGGAAAGAAAAGTACTTCAAAGGGAAACCCACCTTTTATTTAAGTATGAAGCAGCTGTTACTTTTTCTTAATGAATTATCTTTCAATGATGTAGAAAGATTCTGAAGTGTTCTCATTAGCACATGCTGAACAGGAATTGAATAAAGCCTCAGATAATGATCTGAGCTGTAAGCTGGTGGAATCTGAGCCAAAGTAGACTACTTAAATTGAAAAGCTTTGCTGAAGAGTGGTGTGCATGAAAGATGCTTAATTCTGGGCTGCACTCACACCAAGGTCTGCTATCATAGAGCCAAGATAGCTTTATTTATAGAAAGTAAATGATGGATATATTTTTTAAAGATTCTCATTTGATAAACATATATATAACAACTCACGTGGGGTTAACTAATTATCCTCATTTTGTGGTTTTCAGTGGAAGCACTAAGCAATTTATTGACCCTTGTTTCTGTCTGTGCTTGTATGCATGCATTTTTGAACCAGTAATAGAGCAGCCTCATATACTTCTGGATGTTGCTGGGTTTTAGCTATAGACCCAGCGTTATAATCAAATCTATTGATAGCTTCTGCAGCTCTTTCAGAATTCCAGGTAAATATAATGACCTGATATTTTTCTACAAGAGTATTTTCAGACACCATAAAGCGTATTACTGATTTAATGCTTTTATCTTTCAAAAAAAATTCACTCAAAATATACCTATTATTTGATTTGGGAATCAGTTTTCTCAAACCTTAAAATTAGCTCTAGAATTTCTGTAAGCATCTGTAACCCTTCTTTCCCCTGCAGTTTAAATAGACAAAGGTTCTGGGTTAGATTTGTGTGTTTTTTTTTTTTTTTGAATTGTATTTTAGCGAATACCTATGCAAAGAGCTTTAAAAAGTGAAATGGGGTTAAAGGAATGCCATGCTGAAAGATTCTGAAGTGTTCTTATAAGCATATGCTGAGCAGGAATTGAATAAAGCCAAGCTTTAGAACATTGATATTTTTTCTTTTTTGGTTTCCTATTTAAAATGCTGAACAGTGAAGTCCCAGACTTACAATTGTAAGGAAAGCTTTGATGCATTTGTAAATTATACTGCACTCTTTCATTATATATTTTCAAAATCACTGGAATGTTGTTATACAAGAGAATTATACTTGTGTATTGTAAATAACATGTTAAAATACATATATTAATGCCAATAGTTTAATTCAACAATATGTAATCTAAGGTGCTCAGTAGTACATGAAGTATGAGTTAATTACTCATAATTAAGTTGCAAAGATCCTATTATATATTTATAGACAAATTAAAATGATCATAATTACAAATATTATTTCTTCATCACTTAAGTTTTGGACTGATTAATATCTGGGTGGGGATCAACAGAAACTACATGCTCTGCATTTATAAAAACTTAATTTAAATATTTATATTTTAGAAAAAATATATTTGAATAAAATTAATGCATTTTCTGAACTAAAGTGTGTTATTAGCAAGAAACAGAAAATTTTACTAAGAAAATTGTATATATGAATCATTTTATTTTCTTCCAAGTTAGTGTATCATATCAGAGTGGCTATGATGAATCAATTTTGAATATTCATTCTTTTCTCATTCTGAATTCAACAAGTTACAATGACTTTACACTGTAGATCTTAATCTTGTCTTGATGTGTGTTATGAATGTTTGGAATGACACAAACTCCTATGTCTGGACCATTGCCTGGGTATAGTCGATGAATCAACTGGGTCATTCTGGGAATTTGTTTCCGCCCAGTATGCTCTGTGCTCAGTCCATTTCTTATTTGAAACAATGAATTATTAAATTCACAATGTTTGTCCCTTTAAGGGCAAACCAATACAAACGAATGGTTTTAAACTGTACTTAGTGGGAAGCTACCCACTTGTTAGAGACCTGGTTAGGTGAGTTCTTTGGTGTGGTTTCAAATCTTTAGACTATCTCATATGGATTTAAAGAAGGCCAATAGAAAAAGATAGATACCAATTTTTTTTCCTGACTTGAACAAGTAGGAGAAATAAAATCAAACACCTATTAAAAAATACCCAGGCAGAGGCCATTCAATTAATTCTATCATTTTGATGGGATTAAAATGCCGAAAGATGCATGCTCCTTTGTCCCAAAGCTTGTTGACCCTCCTTGGCTGACGTCAGAAGGAATGATCTTTAATGGTCAGAAAGATTCTCCTAAAATTAACATGTGGGGCCTTTTTGGCCCTTGTTCTACAAATATTAGATACTCTGTCTTGAGGGTTTGGAGTGGGGTGAGGGAGTAATTTTTGAATGTATCTTGAGTTAAAAAAAATGTGCCTATGTTTATAGCACCATGGATATCATGTAAAATTTATATATGACTTAAATAAATATTCAGCTGAGTATGGTGGACTGGCTGATGGTTTGATGGTAGCCCCAGAGGGACATGGGAGTGTGATGACACAGCCTCCTATTTTCTTCCTCCAAGACTGGCCTTTAGAAGGTGCTAAAGGGTAAAGGAGATGCTGTTAGCAATTTTATTATTTTTTTTGCATTATTTTTGTGTGTATAGTTTTAGGATGGATCTTCACCTGGGGCTTAGGGATCTCATTTTTAACTAAGTTTCCTTGGGATTCAACTACACACTAAGTTCCGAATACTTGAGTTCTCTATAGTACAAGAACTTGATTTGTCTTTAAATTGGTTGTAAGAAATGTAACAGGCTCGGGTTGAGAAGTCTTTTTACTATTTGAAAATTTAGTATTGAGATTACATTTAAAACTGTAGAATCTCAGCTTTGAAGAGACTTTAGAGGTCATCAAGCATATAATTTCCTAAAGTTTATTTAGAATTTTAGCTGTACTACCTTAATATACGATTTGCTAGCAGTATAGAAACATAGCATGTACATATAAAAATGAAGATACACCAATTAAAATTTTAAAAAAGTTTGTACCACCTAAAGTCATCCCATATACACTATGGTCCTGGTTCTACATTTGGGGAAATGATGACCTTATATAATATTCACTAAACTGAGGAATCTTCCTGAGCACACCTGGTAGTTGTTTATCCCACCAGAAACAGGTAATTCCCAGCAATAGGGAGCTCCTCATCTCCTGAGGCTGCCCATTTTATTGCTGGGTGGCTACAGTTGCTAGAAAGTTCTTAACATTCTTAGAGTCAAAACTTATGTCTGCCTAACTTTCAGTCATCGTCCTGTTCTACCTTAGAAAACACTCAAAGTCCAATCTTTTCCACATGAGTGTCCTATATAAAAAGACAAATCAAGGCTGGGGTCTACTAGGTAATATAAAATGATCTGAAAATGGCTTTAAATACAACGTTTATAATTCCTCATTTTCATCTTGAAAATACCAATTGGCCAGGACTAAAACCTCTCAGAATACGTAGTGGTGGGAAGTCTAGGGAAAACTGGCATTTGTACACCCATCAGCAGGTGCAGATTTAGCAATAATTTGGAAGGCGATTTGGCAATATCTATAAAAGTTTTTAAATATACGCACCTTTCAACTTATGGGACTTTACCCTAGAGATACAGTTGTGCGAGTGCTCAACAACTAATGCATGAGGATCATCTTGGGAGCACTGTTTGTAACAAGAGGCTGAAAAGGTCAATGTGACCACCAAGAACTAAATAACTCCTGGCATACCTGTGCAGTAGAAGAAAAAGGAAAAGAAAAGAAAAAAAATTAAATCATTTCTTCAATTAAAAAAATATATAAACAAATAAATAAATAAAAAGAAAGAAAAGCCTAATTAAAAAAAAGAAAAGTGGTTCTCTTTAAAGAGTGGCACCGTTGGGGCACTTGGAACTCTGTACTCATGTTGTTTTGTTGTCAGGGTGATGGGGGGTGGGAACTGTCCAGAGCTGGGAGACTTTCTGCCATGTGAGGACAGTCCCTGTGTCCATGGAACCATTTCCCACATAATTTTTGTGTCCTCTGAGTTATCCATGTAGGTGAAAAATATGTGTATAATTATCTGAATGCAGACTGACTACATTTTACATTTTTTTGATCGATTGAATATATTTTGAATTTTCTTAGTATGCAACAACCTTGTATATGGAAGACTGTGTTTTTGCCTTGCATAAGGCATCTTATAAAAAGTTTATAAAAACCAGTCACAGGTAGCAAGCATGTACATGGTACCTGAGTCACTGACCACTTTTACATGTGCCTCGTTCATGCTGAATCTAGGTAAAAGTCAAATATTCAACAACTGCATTTTTGTCTTGTAGTGTAGCTGTATCCTAGCATCTCCATATTGAAATGCATATTATTTTATTATCATTCCTTTTCTAAAAGTCTTTACCTTACTGTTAGGAGATATCAATTTTAAAAAGCCTGAGTGCATGTAGGTTATATTACTGTACTGGGCACATCCTATGTCTCTCATCAAATACCCTCAATGCCATCATGTGTCCTCTTAAGACTCTGAGCTGCTTGCTCAACCTTAGGTACCGCCACAGCCAGCTCTGCTTGACCTAAGTTCTTCTGCCACTTATAGCTAACTAATTGGTTGCCTGGAAATGCAGCCTCCCCTTATCTCTCTCCTCAGCTGCTGCCAGGCAGCCAGGCTAAGGAGATGCATACTTGAATTTCTGGGTTGTCATCAATTCCAGACTTGGATCAAAGGACACACTCTAGGGCCTGAGAACTGGTGTCCTGAGCGGCTGGTAAAGGTAATGACCTGAGTAACCCAGAACTGCAGGGGATTTAAAGCTTTGTCAGCCAAACATGAAAACAGATAGGACCTGAGAAGATAAGCGATCCTTTTCTTCATCCTGTGTACTTCTCTGAGACATGGTTTCTCCATACATCATACATCCTGCGAGACATCCCATGACAAAGAAGACACCTGCTGAGTGACTGGTTGTGTCCCTTTGGGCCTCAGGAAAGTGACCAGTGCAGTAATGTATCACCCTGCCGTGCCTTCCTGCCTTCTCTGCCCTTTTCCAGTGCCCTGGAATCGGACCTCCTAAATAGAGCATCACCTTAATTCTTGTCTCAAGTTTTGTTTTCTAGGGAGCTTGGCCAAAGACCTTTATTTATTAATTTTACCTGATGACAGCAAAGGGGGCACTAAAAATCTTTCTTATGAAAGGGGTGTTGGGTCTGCTCAGTTGAGAAACAACAGACACATGGTAACATGCTTGTACTTGTATAAAAATGTCTGCGAGGCCAAAGTAACAAAAGGCCTCTTACTACCAGCCACTGCGGGAAATCGCGGCCAGCACGTTAGGGGTGACCTTAAGACTCCTCTCCATTATGTGAACTTCTTAAACGTGCAATCTAAAATCCTCTTTTGAAAAAGATTTTCTTTTCATGAGTAAATAATGTTCTGATAATGGCGAATAATCTTTTCAAGTTGTCTATAAAATCTTGAATAGAACTATTTGAACATATGGCCAGAGAAATTAATTATCATGTCACCTGTGGTCTTCTAAATTACACTAAATGAGATTTCACTAGGGGAAGCAAGTCTAATGTCTCATTAACATGACTAAACCATGTCCACAGAGGGCATGGTTTGTATAACAGAAAAGCAGTAGGATCCTCTACTTTGGCCTTTTATCCTCGGTTCATTTTTTTCTTGGACGTAAATAAGGCCTTTTCTTGGAAGAGTGTATGACTCAGTATGGAGAACATTGCTCAGACAGTGCCACAGCAAGAAGAGGAGGGCAGAGGTGGAAGATGGTGAAAAATGACACCCAAAAGAGACGGGAGACAGAGTAAGAACTGACACACGGATCAGCCCGTCCACTGAGGAGAAGGCATCCCATGGACAAGGCCTCTAACCCCGATGCCAGTCCCAGAGGCAGAGCCCACTGGCCTGATGGCTGAGATTCTGCCTAGGCTTGGACCAGGGCCTGGCAATTTTGAAAGAAAACTTTGTTCTTCCCAAGAAACAAAGCCAGTTTTATTTTCAGCAACTTTCAACTATATTCTTGGGATGAATAAAGCGTATCTCCTCTCAAGAACTGAAAGGGAATGCCCAAGACCCTCATTAATTGCAGCTTCTCTGTTTTGTAATTCTCACCTGCACCCGGGGTGAAGGAATCGCTTCCTCTGCAAGTTTTCTGCGTCTCCTGAGAAAGGCAAATCCAGTCCAAAGAGGAGCTACTTCTTTTTTTGCAAGTCGGGCCTTCAGACTAAGACCTTAATCAATGAAGTTTTTGCAACCTTCCTTCTTGCACTTGGCCTCTCATTGAATTCTCCAACGTGAATGGAACCAAAAGTTTACGCAAAACGAACCACCTTACAACCTGGTAGCTTAGAACACAGTGACGCATTATTCTCGGTATTCTGTGGGTTGGCTGGGCAGTTCCTTGCTGGCTTTGCCTGGGTTCATTCATGTGGCTGTATTTAGCTGGAGCCCTGTGTTGGACTGGGAGATCCAAGATGCCTCCCTCACTGTCCTGCAGCTGGTGCTGCCAGATGGGGCCCCTCGGTCCTCTTCCATATGGCCTTTCACTGTCTAGGAAGCTAATTGGTTCTTTTATGTGGCTCCTACAGTCAGAACAAGGTTCTACAAGGAGCAAACCAGAAGCTGCAAGGTCTTCGAGGCCTAGATTCCAGCTCACACCATGTCATTTATGTCACATGGTCAAACCAAGTCACACTGCCAGCCCAGATGCAAGGCCTAGGGAACAGAGTCCATCTCCTGATGGGAGGAACTCAAAGCATGTGGCTATATTTAACCTACTACATTCCACAGTCTGGCCATGATTATGTTCATTCTCCTATATGCAAAATGTGTTCATTTCTTCCTAATATGAGCTAAAGTCCAGTATTTCATGATCTTCATCTGGTCCAGATAAGAATGAAACTTCCTAGGGTATGGCTCTCTAAAATCCAGAATATTGTGACCTAATTAATTGAACTAGTTTACTGCCATCCATACTTATCCAACATACAATGGTGAGGGAGGGGCAGGGTCACTGCAGCTGATACTTCTTTTCATTAAGGGACTAATCATTAGTCCATAGTAATCCTGGCATCCAGCTAGCATACGTCACCAGTTCTCACTGTCAGGGGCAGGGAATGTGACACAGGGTTCGTTTCTGCTACCTGGGAGTGGTACTCTACTCCATCATTCCTGGCTCTGCCCTGTGGGCTCTTGGCTCTGACTTTCTGAAAAGTCTTTCTTATCCATAAGAAATAGTCCCTATTTGCAACTGAAGAGTTTTCTCATCCTTCTATCTATTGGAATTTAGTGGCCAGGAGGCCTCTTTTCATTTTAATACAAATTCTTTAAAACTTTATGAATTTTCTGTTGCCAATAAAACTCAATGGAGAAAGTATAGTCTTTTCTATAAATAGTGATGGGACAACTGGATAAATATATGCAAAAGAATGAAAGTGAATCTTTTCTTCACACCAAAAATTAACTCAAAACAGATCATAGACTTAAATGTAAGCAAGAAAACTATAAAGTGAAAAGACAACCCATAGAATGGGGAAAAATAGGTGTAAATCATACATCTGATAAATGAATAGAACTCAGGACATAAAAAGAACTCATACAACTCAACAATAAAAAGACACATAATCCAATTAAAAAATGGTCCCAGGCTTTGAGTGGACATTTCTCCAAAGAAGATATATAAATGGCCAATAAGCACATGAAAAGATGCTCAATGTCATCAGTTATCAGAAATCAAAACTACAATAAGATACCATTTCACACTTCATATCATTTGTCACATCACTTAAATCCTTAAATATTTCTAAGGTCTTAATAAAGGACTATGGAACCACACCTCTGGTGTGGTCTTTTTCCTGAGGCTATCTCTTACTTTGAGAATCTTTTGCCACTGGAGATACTGGAAATGGGAAGTCATTTTATTTTCCAATCCGGAATGCCCTAAGCCCTCAGCATCTCTTTTAAATTCTGCTAGCGAACAAACAGTTTCTTCTTTGGCTCATCTATCTTTTCCTGTATCATTTCCTATTCACCTAAACAAACAAACAAATGCTCCCTTGACACTTTCAAAATTCTACCTGCAGATAACCTTAACTGGATCTTAAGTTCATAAGGTACAACTTCTCTTTTACAGGTTATACAGGCAACAGTTTTGCAGAATGTATCACTACATAATACAGCTGAGCTAGATAGATGGGCCCAGTGGCACCATCTTTCCCAAGAAAAAGGGTCTCATTCTAAACTTCTCATTTTACAAAGTGTGAGCTTTCATTCAGCATTATTCCCAGCACCAGTAAACAACTCCCCAGAATAGCTGATGTCTAAACTCAGCCTTTACCCTCCTTCCCATATGCCTTTCCAGGTCCCTGTATAAAGACAGAGCAACTGGTCCGCTGGGTCCCTCTCCCGGAGCACAGCCCCAAAGCACGTGCAGCTACGCTTCAGTCCTCCCGCCTCTTCTTCCATGAGTTTTAGCTTGTACCAAGTGGTGTCTGCCAGATGTTCTTGCTCAGTGCCATCTCGGGGTCAAAGGAACACCATAAACAAAATGACAAAGAGCTATTACCCTTAATATATAAGAACGCTTACTAACCAGTAAGAAAAAGTCAAACTATTCAAAATAAAAACGAGCAATTAAAGAGTGGCCAACATATTAAAGAAATGTTCCCCCCTCACTATTTTTAGTCATCAAAACAAACAAACCAACCAAACAAACAACAACAACAAAAAACCAGGGACTTTGACGGTGGCTATAAATTAATTCCTCAGAAAAGCAATTTGGAAATATTGAGCAAAAATCTTAAGATCCACAAATTCCACTCCTAAAAAATATATAACCAATGATGCATTAGGAAGATTCATTAAAGTTTTATTTATAACAGGAAAAACTGAACCTATATGTTCAACAATGGGGAATTAATAAAACAAATTTTGATTCATTTATATTATACAGGGGTTAATATTGATAAAAAATTCATAACACATTAAGTGAAAAGCAGGCTATAAATTAACATACACATATAAACACAAATGTATACACACATATGACCCCGATATTGAAAAAATTTTAAAAATAATGTTTTTAAAAAAATATTAACAGTGGGGGCCATGTGGAATTTTTTTCACTCTCCTTTGTACTTGCTGCATTTTCCAGATTTTCTACAATGGGGAAAAGATATTCTTTTCTGGGAGTCTGTTCTTAGTCAATGTTGCTATGTCTTATTTTCACAATTTCTGCCCTTTCTTCATTTTTGATCCCAAATAAACATTAGTAGCTCCAACAGTGATGGCTCTAGGCTGGTCTTACAGGAAGAAGGCTATCTGCGTGAATATTTTTTGCCCATATTTTCCAAGTCAGGAGCCGTCTAATCAATCATGCGGTTGGAACACATGAGAAAAGCCATTTGCACTGTGTCACTTGAGGCTCAGTAATTTAAACAGGTGAGACAATGAACATATCTACCAAGAAGTAAAGAGATATCTTTTCCTATTTATTGAAATATTTAAATAACCAAGAGTAAAAATTTTAAAACATATATAAAAATGCCAACTTTAAAAATTAAAGTTTAGTGAAACTATACAATAGGTATACAAGTAAAATACATGAACTGGGCATTCTCAAAACTCTATATAAATATGTGATATTTATAAAAGTCTTTAGAGATATAACATCTATTCTTTAAATAAACTTTGAAATCTGTTTATAATGTCCAAACTAAGAAAGGAAGTAGTAAGCAATAGCTCTGTCCAATTCATAATTCTCCAAAGAAAATTATATGTTATTTCTTGCTTGTCTTTTCTAATACCCATTCAATAACCTAGGGAGAGAAAAAATATGATTATGGTTCATTTTTATTAAAAACATAAGTGATAGAAAAAGATACTATTAAAACGTTAAAGGAAAATGGTAGAAATTTTAAAATAAAAAGTAACAAGGGAAACTCTTAAGACATATTTTATCTTAAAAACATGTTTATTTTCTAACTGAAGAGCACTTTCTGCTTCTAATGCAGAGTAGAATAACCGGACAAAGTCCAATAACATTGGACAAAGATAAAGATTCTGATCTACTTTCTCTCTTTATCAGAAAAGCTTTCCAAAGTGTCACTAGAAAGAAATTAATCCAAACTTTAAAAATAACTAATCAAAATTAATTTTTCTAACTCTTTGGATTATTTTGAAATTTTTCTTTCTTAATACCATTTCAGAAACTCTTTTGTTCAGAGTAGCCTAGTAAATATTACTAAATACTCTGCTTGTGTAAGTCCGTTACTAAGTATTTTAAAGAGTGTTCTTACTGCATAGGTAATAGCATCACAGCTATCCTGAAATAAAATGGCAATTTAACTGAATGTAGTTTTGTGGGAATAATTTATTTACCTGTACAGCATTGTTGTTTGCTGTTTTCTTCATTTCTTCAAATAGACCTCTTGAAGTTTTAAGATCCTAAACATAACAAAATACAGCATTTTACAACTTGCACAGTAAATTACGGAGAACAGCCATTATTAAATAAACTGGATATTGTCCTTTATGTTCTGACGACTCGGATTAGAAGCTTTCCTCACAAGTCTGCTAAACCCTGGCTCGTCCAGTCATAATTAAAAATGAGACACTGAAAATCTTATTGGAAGCTCTGTCTTTTATGCAGAGCTTGTTTGCTAGTGGCTTTACAAAGTGGGTGCTAAGGGGGATAGCTGGTGTTTTCACTGGGGCTTCCCATTCTTTTTCCTCCATAGACTATTTCCTGCCCTGTCACAGAGGCGGGGAGAGAACTACATGTGAGGTCCCTTGTAGTTAACATCGTGGGAGAAGCCCGTGTGGAGCAAGTGGAAAGTTCTCAGTTCACTTTGCAGATCTCTATGTAATTCCCCTTTTCTACCTGGCACCTTGTCCCTGGCTTTCCATGATACCTGTTGGCTTCGAATCCTGAGCATCACAGAGATTGTGTCAGTTGAACTGGTTTGACTCTCACTGGCATTCTACTAGGCGGGCATTTAGGTTGTAACTTTTACTCTGCTACACCATGCTTCCGCGTAATTCCTATTATTCAATAATGTACTGAAAAACTTCCACGTTTTTTTCTTTCCTTTTTTCTTGGTTTTGTGTGTGTGTGTGTGTGTGTGTGTGTGTGTACTTAAACACTGTTTTTCTAGGGAGATTTTAGAAAGGAGGGGAACTGAATACATGTGGTCAATCTGCAATTTTAAACAGAAACCCACGTAAAGCTGTGATTTGAGACAGAAAAATCTTAAAACTGAACATAACCTAACACCATCTAAGTTTTAGAAAACTGTCATCTGAGTGGCTGATCTGTTCAATGTCATACAACTAGCTGATAATGGATCCAAATATAAAAACTGGGTGTTTTGATACTCAGTCCAGTAGCCCTTTTACTATATACTATTATTACTAATTAAACATATTTTGAAGCTTATCAATTCAAGTCAAAGACTTGTTAGGAAAATACTGAGGATACCAATCAAAACGTAGCCTTCTATATATGGGGACCAAAATCAAGTAAATCAAATATAAAATATATTGGCTCCAATTTTTCTATCTCCATTTTTTAAAAAATTGGAAACAAATAATAAGTAACGAATGTGAGAAATACTCACTAAAGATTACTTTATGTCAGCCAAATAGGAACATGAGAAGACGACCTCAATTTTGCCATTAGCAGAGAGGACACTGTACCTTTAGGTAGAACTTCGAGATCTCAAAGAGACGCTGGCTGCAGGCAGCGAAACATTCATGGGCCTCAGTGATGCTGTGTTTTCTCAGGGTTTCAGTAACCACTTCTTTCAATATCTTGAATAGAAGATAACATATGACTAAATAATATTCCTTGGAAAAGGTACAAACATTTAGAGTTCAGTTCTATGAACCATACAATCGTGTAGCTATGCTAACAACAGATAATACAAAACAGTTGAGAAGACTATAGATCTGAAATATTTACATGGTCACATGTGTCACAGGACAATATCTATTGGCAAAAGATGACTGGAGTATCTTAAGAGAGGAATTCAAATCATGAGTTCTGAACTGAAATTTGAGCATAAGTTATACATGGTAGGCATATACAGATGTGTCTTTATTTTTTTTTTATTACGGAAAATTTCAAACATTGAGAAGTAGAGGGAACATTTTATAACAAATGCCTATCTCAACGTTATCACCCAGCATCAAGGAGGATCTATTTGTGGCTAATTCTGTTTCATTTATACCCCTCCCGCCCACTTTCCAATTATCCTTTCTGCACTGGATTATTTTAAAGTAAATTATAGATACATTTAATTTCATTCATAAAATTTTTAGACATATGTGTTAAATGAATCAAATAAAGGAATTTCTTCCCACATAGAACTAAAAAAGACAGAAAATAAATCTTTACCCGTGTATGTTTCTGTGATCTTGATTCCTTAATTTGCCTTAATGCTTTTGATTCGTGCACACTTTTTTGACCTGGACTGGCCTTTATAGTGACTTTTGGAGTTTCAGAGTTAAGAACTGGAACAGATGGACCAGTCATAGATAATGATCTCTCTGCCCGTGGCTTTCTGGAAGTCACTGCATGGTGGTGATGATTAGAATTGCCACTTGTTTGAGAAAGAAGAGAATCTGAACTTTCAGATTTCACAAGTCTATTGTGGGGAAAAATGTCAAAAACAGAGATTAGGTAAATGAACAATGAGTTCCATTTTCTGTCCTAAATGTTTACAACTATATCCACTGAAAAAGAAACCCAAGAAGAACAAACAAAATCTCTCACTACTACTGCCTTAAATAAGCAATCGACATCATCTTATATAGTTGCTCCCCTAGTTCTTCAAATGAGTGACTAAAACATAGAAGGCAGTGAATAATAAACCAGGAAAAAGTAACAGTCATACTGGCGCCCTCCCCATCAATTTACAATTTCTTGCATAAATCAGCTATAGCATGCCAGGTGATGTTATTTATAGATTTGATACTCACCTGTCAAGTACTTATACTTTTCTATTACAATAATTTTGACAAAGAAAACATCACCTATACTTACTGTATGTATGCAACTACCTGTGCAAAAATAAATAAGTGTTAAAACAAATACAAATAAAACTATAAAACTAACTCTTGCTTTAATCTTCCCTCATGTTTAAATTTCCTTTTACAAGACAGGGTCTCATATTGTTCAATTCTGCTAAACAAAGGACTATAGTGTACTTTGTTTTCTGGTACACATATCTTTTTTTATTAATCACAAGTCAGAAATAAAAAATCTTGTTACAAAATACAGTATCCCAAATGTTGATGGATTTCCTTTTCAGCTTTACTGGGTGTAAAAAATACCATGAATTTGTAAAGTCCTCATGAAAATAATTTTAGTTATTCCATATCAGGAAAATAGTATTCTAATATTTTTAACTGTTCAGAAAAAGATTTGAAAGTTTCACTTTCACGTATTCCAAACATTTTGAAAGGTTTAAACACCGTAAGAATTTAAAACTGGTGTTCGATGCCAAAGACCTAAATTTGACAAAGATTCTAAGGATACATAAATTCAATAGAAATTAGAAGTTTAAATTTCTAATTTCAAGTATTTGAACATTTTACTTACCTAGGAAAAAAAGCATCTAGGAAAGTTTCACATAATATATTTTTACGTAGGCTTTAAAAGCTGTATTATATGTGGAACGAATGGTTTTAAAATGGTGCCTCATGGAACCCCTTCTTTAAGGGGCCAACGCAGGCAGGAAGCAGTGAGAGGGAAGGAAGAGCTAAGGGGAGCCTGGCATCCCCAACGCTCTCTCCCAGGGCGGCTGCGCCGCTCGCCCTGTTGGATGAGGTCTCCAGCATTCCATGCTTAAGACTTTACAATCCGTGGTGCTAATGGACTGTCTTAGCATATAAAGCAAGAAATAGTGTGTTTTTTCCAAGTCATTTCTTTTTATCATACAAGCAAATCGTCAGCTGCTCACAATAAAAACAAAATTCCTGGTATGGAGGAATTAATCCAAAATCTATGCAGAAAGCAACTTAAAAATATAAAAGGCTACTATAAAAAAAAAAAAATTACCCTAGGGACTAAAATACTTTCTGTCAAGATATTTAATATTTTGTTAACCAATGTCACCTCGATAAATTTAGTAATAAAAAAGATACTTAATATCTTTATGTGTTTAATATATGACCTTTTATTGGGATAAAGGCAGTTCTGATCATTTAACCTCCTTTTCAACCGGGATACTTCGGTCCGGAGTTCTCCCTGGAAAGCTTCTCCGTCAGGGACACTTCCAGGCTCTGACAAAGCTGCCGGCGATGGAAGAGGGCTCAGCATCGTGGGCACTGGGAAACTGTCTCTGGTGCAGGTGGTCTGAGTTTCATAACGGATCAGACGAGACTGAAGTTCAGAAAATCCCCCATCTCTTTCTAAAGATTTTCGGTCATCCAAGCAATATCTAAATGAGAGAAAGATCATTAAAATCAAAGCCCTCGTGACAGCAATGGGCTTTTTCCTGCCCATTAGAAGACAGCAAAACATTTACCTAAAAAGTTCTTACCTAACCTCCTAATATTTGTTAGAAGGTTGAGTGAATGGCTGACTTCCCTCGCAAGTTCAGTTTTTCCTAGCCTGCTAGATGACACGGCGAAAGATTTAAAAATCTGAAGTACAAGTCCTCTTTGACTCTGGGCAATAGATTAAGTTAATCCTCTGGCTTATTTTCAAAATAATACAGTTGCTGTTTTAATACTTCCTAAATCTCTACCAACCTCTGATTTCTCAGCATGGCTGATACGCAGCAATGCGAAATGCTGACTTCTGTTAGAAAGGGCAAATTTATTTTCAACACAAAGATTAAAAGGGTATAAAGGCATCCTAAACCGGCTTACCAAACATAGCTCTGAATATCTGAATTTTTTCTTTGAAATTCTCTTCCCACCTTATTGACCGATTGCCAGATTTTCCTTCAAACACTTTGGCTGTCTCTGTGCATCTGGTTTCTAGCTAAATCTGATTCAAGGAACCAGTGAGATGTCGGCTCCATGAATGATAAGAGATGTAAAGAAAGCCCACGTTGTGAAGTACAGCAAATAAGCATTTCAGGAAAAGCACCTATGAGATGTGTGACTTTGGAAAGCTTTTCGCTTTCTCCCATGCTACAGCTGCACCAAGGAAACAAATGGTTCCACAACGTGACGGCGGGGCTACACAAATTAAAACCTTCTGTTATCCGTCCTCTCCGCCTGTAAAATTCTAAGATGCTCCCTGAAACCAGATTTTGTGTCCATAAGCTTTTGGTCCACTCCCAAGGAGTGTATCATTACCCTAACATCTAATTGCCTGATGGAGGTTTTAAGGACTTCCTCTCTTCCTTGTGACACTTTCATGTTTGATTTCTAAGGGTACAGACTAGGGAGCCAGGCTTCCTAGATTTACATCTAGCTCCACCATGATTAGCTGTGTGAACTTGGCCAAATAACTTAACTTTATGCTTCTGTTGCCTTGTCTGCAAAATGAGATTTATAGCAGTTATCTCAGAGTGCTACTGTGAGAATTCTTTGAATGGATACAAGTTAGCACTTAGAATCAGTACATAGAACATGCAAGCAAAGCGGTCAATAAATGTATGCTGCTGCTGTCATTATCATTACCACTGTCATCGTCGTCATCATCGTCGTTGTCGTCGTCATCACCACCACCACCACCACCACCATTAAGTTTCTTTTCTACCACAGCAAATCTTATCGTATGCTGATACTGCACAGCATGGCCAGGTCTTAAACCCAGGTTGGTGACTTCAAAGTCTGACTTTAGCCATTTTAGTATATTATCTCTCATGTAAATCGTCAGGATCATCTTACTCAGAGGTCAACCCATGGCCTAATGTTAGAATCAACCAAAGAACTTTTAAGAAATATTGACACCTGGTGTACATGCCCAGAGTTTCTAATTTAATCGGTCTTGGGTATAATCCAGCCACGGGCATTTTTTTAAAAGCTGCCCAGGAGATTCAAAAGTGTCGCTAGGACTGCAAAACCTTTGCTCTAACCCAATAGTTTAACAGTGGAGAAAACTAAGGTCCTACATCAAAATGTTAACTGGTAGCAGAGCAGAGACTAGAACCGAGGGGTCTCTCAATTCCCTGATATTCTTTCTCAAATTTGTTGTTTAACAAAACATATTTCATTAAATATCAACTGTAACCCGTAGGCTTACTAATGAGAGTCCTACTTCTATAATGCACAACTGAAAGAATCTAGTAAAATTAAGGACCATGAATGTTAAGAAAGTTCTAGGCATGAGCAATGTAATGCCTGATTAGCCTATGGGAAATTTTTGAGAGAAAAGATGCATATCTTGACTCTAAATGAGTATCTTCCTCTACTCTAAAATTCTGATACTAAGCTGCAGAATTTTTTCTTTCATTTTTAATATCTCTCGATCTCAGCTGTCCATAATGTCATCCTTTCAAAGGAATTATGTGCACTGTATGTTGACTTTAATTACCATTAAAATGTCTTCAAAAAGATTATACTATGATTAGTTATTGAAACAAGTTACTTAGTAAGTAAGAAAGGAGCAGACACAGTGTAGCAGAGTGTATATTTGATATTAGTGAAGTAAATATGCATTGCTGGATGAATGACATCGATTCCATATTTTCTTGCAAAACAATAATAACTAAATGCTTTATGTGTCCAAAGAAAAATACCTGTAAAATGAAGCCATTTTTGTCTTGTAAATACAAAACAGACAAGATACTGACTACCACACACCAAGCAATGCCAAGGAAAGCACCAGAAACTGCCAAATCTCTTGGAATAGATCAAAGGAAATTCATAGCAACAAGAGGCTGGTGTGAGCAACTGACTGTCACAATTTGACAGTAGATCTTAATTAGTTGTTAAAGACGACAGTGCATCTTACAATCAATAGTATCCTACACCCAAGGATAGAATAGATAAGTGAAAAAACAAACTAACAATCCATCAGTGGATATCTTTGCTTTGCCTTAAGAATCACAGATTTGAAGTTGAGTTAATATGGTATACTTTTTCCAAATATTCTTTATAGAGAAAGAGCTCAAGGATTCTGAAGTCTTACAGCAACAGAGGAAGGGAGAACTTCTTTGTGGTTGCATGTTTACTTTAAAATTTCACTTGGATTTTGTTTCTACTACACAATCTATGTTTAACATAAACAGGCCCCCATACAAAGCACCCGAATCTTCTTGAAAAAAAGCATGTTTCTGGATTCACTGTGCTCACCTTCTGCAACTTCCTTAGTTTAATCTCAGTCCCAGGCTTAACGAGCATAAATTTATTTTTTTTTAAAAGGAGTCACAGCTAGATTTGTCTATTTGCTTATGGAGGTAGGTAGATAGTAGACGAGAAGAAAGCTGTTCTTTTATAATGAAGTAGAATCTCATAACATTTTATGTGTATAAATGAATTAATATAGCTCTATGTTGATTTAGACCAATAAACACTGCTCAAGTAACTCCTAATTTAATATTTTAAAATGATCATGAAGATTATACTTTTTATGAATTCTATAAATTTGTATGTACCATTAGAATTTGCCTATAGTAAACTAAAATCAACAGAAAAAAAGTAGGGAGCTGAGGCTCAGAATAACGAAGACTATATAGCATTTTAAGAAAAATAATCAAAACATGGTTATGTGATGGATGCTTCAGTCATTAGTTAAAATGAATTTATAGCTTATTCCATTCAAATCAGTGCTTCAGTGAGTTTGTAGGGCTAAAAAGGAGGAAAAAACATGTTTCATGGGGTTGATATTTTGACCGTGTAGCAAAGAAAATGTTAATACTAGTACTTTTTCTCAGGAGAGTTGATCATTATTGTTGATCATAATAATATAATCACTGTTTACTGTTTCAACTTTCAGGATCAACTTATATACAAAATATCTTAAATGCTTATTAGGTTCCACTAACAGATTAGAAGGCTCTAAAATTCTTATCAAATTAAATGGGAGAGGTATTGCTTTATAGTTGATGAAATAAGAAATAGAAGTTTGGATATATTATTTGAATACATAAAAATAAATAGCAGAAAACTCAAATTGAGAAGGGAAACCAAATCCTCATATTGCATAGTAAAGAGTCAATAACATTTTATATGGAGATATTAATAAATATTGACGAAAGGTACCCTTTAGAATAAGAGAGGCAACCACCAGAGAAGCTTAAATCAAACAAATAAAACACTTGTTTCTGAAAACTGGGACCAGAGGAAGGAAATAATAAAGAAAGGAATTGCTGGTTTTTATTATAAACTTTTCTGTTGCTTATTTCTAGGTCTTTAATAAAATCAAAAAGAAGGGAGAAAAAAACATATTAATCAAATTTTTCTGTCCTAGAAAAAAGAAGCTCCCACTTAAATTTGACTAAGGTAAATTTAGATCAAATAAAAAGTTAAATCTGTAATCACTGCACAAAAGGGTATACAGCTAAAAATAAGAATAGTTTAAACAAAAGGTTTAGCTAAATTCGAGTTTATTTGGGAAACATGCCTAACTTTTTGACATTATAGGAAAAGCAATAATCCTCTCAAATAAGGAATTCTTTCCTCAATTATCAGAAACAAAAAGCTCGAACAAATGGCATTTCTTATCTTTTTATGATTCAGGGGTTGTCTCTGAGTTGCCTGTTGTTAACAAAACAATTTAAAATTCTTATCTTTAGAACCAGTTATACTTAAATTAGCATTTCATATGGGACTTCTTTCAGAAATGATTAATTCTTAGCTGTTGCTCATTTTTTTTTATTTTTGTTGCTCATTTTAAAGTCCTTAAATTCAACTGTTTTTGCCACACTCAGACGGATAGAAGTTTAACATTTTGGCTTAATGCTGTATGTTCTTTGTTATTGCCGATCAGTATTGCTCTGTGTGCGTATACTGGTTTATTTATCGCTTCTCCTGCTGTACACCTGGGCTGTTCCCAGACGGGGCTATCATGAATAAAACGCTCGGTACGTTCTCATACAGGTCTTTTTGCAAAGTTATGTTTTCATTTCTCTTAGGCAAATACCTTGTAATGGAATTGCTGAGAAATAGGGTCTGAGTATGTTTAGTTTTATAAGAACCTGCCAGATCCTTTTCTGAAGTAAATATATCATTTTCTACTCCCACCAACAATGTATAAGATTTCTGACTATTCCATATACTTGCTAATATTTATCAGTCTTTTCAATTTTAGCCATTCCAGTAGGGGTACAGAATTTTAATTTATGGATACACTATCATTTATTCAACCAAGCCCTCACGTTAGACATTGTTTCTCATGTTTTTTATTTTAAATAACACTGCAAACAATAGCCTTGAGTAATAACTCAGTGTACATAACTCAGTGTACAATCATTAAGCTTAATAAATCAATGTATTATAAACACCTGCAATTTTTTTCCATTCTACCTTTCTTTCTAAGATTACTTTTAATATTTATGGCTTTACTTGTTATCTGGCATAAGTTCTTTTCAATTGTGTTTAAAATTGGAAATGGCTGGTTAGAGAAAAACTATGCTTTTTATATGTAGTGTATCACTGGCCATTTCACGAATTCTCCCACTGCTTCTGATAGCCTTTCTGGTCTCTTCTCTACAAACCAACAATAACAAAAGCCTTCTTTTGCTCTCTTTTTCAATACATATAGCTCTTTCATTTATTTGTTTGTTTGTTTATTTTTTAGGCGAGGCAACCCTTGGTTGACCTCACAGACTACAAGGACCTTGTCAGCTTACAATCCCTTATTTTTTATTTTTTACACCTACAGCACCTGGTCTTCCTAGGTGGTCTCTCCTATCCGAGTACTAACCAGGCCCGACTCTGCTTAGCTTCCGAGATCAGACAGCATAGGGCTTGATCAGGGTAGCATGGCTGTAGACCGTATAGCTCTTTTAAACTCTTTAGTTTTCCTCATTTTGATTCATTGACTGAAGCATACAGAACAATTGTTTAAAAAAAAAAAAAACCTAATGAAAGCAGGTATCTTTTTTTTTTTTTGCATGTGATTATAATGGGAGTTTCATTTTGATGCTTGAAAATAAAGTAACTAAAGATTTTGCCTCTAGAGTTAAACTTTACATCAATATTCCTTAAATGAAATAAATATTATTTAAATATAGCCAGGAACCTAAAAATTCCTAGAATGACTTGTTGGGTGGTGACCTTCTATATTTCTCAAATTCCCCTACCAGCCACCTAATGTGCCTAAGTTAAAAACACTAAAGAAATTCTTATTTCCCTTTCTCACCCCCAAAATCTAATCGATTTCTCAAGTTCTTTACATAGCTCTTAAGTTTGTATTCTCCTTCCTATTTTCACTGTCTTGATGATATTTTAGTCTTTCGACATCTCTTGCTTGAAATAGCTGAGTTCATTAAAGGACAATGAGATTTCATTCAATGAAACAAACCCAAGCATGTAATTTTGTGCTTTAGGAATAAAGAGTTTTTACTGCCTCAAAGAAAAGATCAGTCTTCCTGCCATGTCAACAGTGATCTTTACGACTTCATGATTTGGTCTCATAATACAAAATACTTATTATTACTCTTATTAAAAAACAAAAATGCTATTTCCTCTTTCTAGACTCTGTACCTCGATCCTCCCCTAGATAATCCCTTTTTGCCAGGGAAACTCCTTCAGACTTAGTTCAGACGTCCTCTCTGAAGTTCTCTCAGATAGTTCCTGATCCTTATTTGTCTCATCTACCAGGCAGTTATATTCTAACATCACTTATACTCTACTAAAATCATGTGTTTCTTCCTTTCTTCTCTACTAGAGTATATGCTTCTTAATGGCAGAAATAGTTATTTTACAGTCTTTTGTATCTCTGGCTCCCGAATGAGTGATTGCCAGCAAGTATTTTAAAGGTTTGTGTGAGATACAGATTAAGTTCACAAGTCAGTCAAAAAAGTATATTTCAGTTGTTCCCTTATAAACTTAAACTTGCTTCTAAAAACTAAGGTAAAATCAAGTTCTTTTCTATTTTAATTTATGAAAAATCAATATAAAATAATGGTTTACTTTAAGAATGTATTTTGCAAAATGAATTACTAAGGTCTTGAGAACTTGTCATAAAATATATTATCATCATTCCATTTCTTGTCCTTGTGAAAAGGTAGAGGTGTACATGCCCTCAGAAACTGCTTTCAAGCAAGAGAATCCTTTGAAATTTTATTCAAATCGGTCAATTAAAATTCTATTAAAATGCACGCATAAATAACATGTTAGAGATGGGAACACATTTTATCTAATAGTTCTGGAGTAACTGCAATGTAATTAGTGACCAGGGAAAATGAATGTGACTAGTAGTGTAAATACATTCATTTATAATGTAGAGACAAAATAATTTTGATTAAAATATCTAGTAACTAATAATAGGATGTTCAAATGCTATAAAACTGATCAATCATCAAATAACTTTTTTTCAATAGAAGAGAAATTATTTGTGCACGTAGTGTTTTGTTTTTTGACATACTTTCTGTTTGGTTTGTATGTACCTCAATACCTCTTATTATAGTCACTCTTCACACTCACATAAGATAAGCTACATCAACAACAAGCAGAAAAATTAAGTATAAATCAGAAACTTACTCAATTCCATGGTAATGACATACTGAAGCTTTTTCAAAAGGTAAAACTCGAAGTTTCCGAGGACTAAGTTCTGGGGTCAGAACAAAAGTCTTTTCCCTGAAACAAAAAAGTTCTTCATTTGTATTTAAAGTTTATTTAGTGACAGAGAGAAGGTTCCAGAAAGTGTCTCAACAAAGAAATGTGACTCCGCTCAGTCCAACTGAATCTTACATGGGATAAAAATTTAGTTACATCAGATCTTAGAAAGAAAAGGAAGCAAGGTTAGGCCTGTGGATTTTGTCACTTATGTTTCTGTGCCTCAAGTTTCCAAAGTCATGATATTACTTATTTCACAAAACTATTCGGAGAAATGGATAGATCGAGAATGGAAAATGATCTGTAGTGGAAATTCAAGAGGCAGCATTATTCCGGAAGGATTTTTTTTTTCTTAGTGTAATGAACTAATGTTTATACATTTAGTTATACTCTTTTTTACAGGGAATAATTAAGTCGATTCGAGTCTTTGGTAACAAAAGAAGTATTTACTTCCTACTATAACGTATTGGGACTCAGATCTTTCCTCATCTGGGAATACAGTCATCTTGAGACTTACTTTAAGAGTCAACAACCTTTTAAATATCCCAGTGTATCTGAGACTAACTGCTGACTTTGGTTCTTTCTCTGAGTAGGTTTTCAATCAGTAGATATGTTAAAACTAATCATATGTGAGCTTACATAAAATGTCCATGCTCAACCCCACCCATTCCATATCCAGACCTGCAGGGGTGTATCGAAATCTAGAAAGGTCCTTGCAATTAGGCTCAGCCCTCCTGGTTTTCTAATAGGTGCCCAACTTCTCTGCCTGAGTTGGGAGGCACTATTCTAATGTTCTTGAAGCTCAGAACAGGTTAGATGGGAATGGAAGAATTACAGATCAATGGTCTTTACACGGTCAGAGGCAGAATAAAATACCAGGAGTTTGAATTCCGAAGACTTAGAAACAGTATGTAGAAGGGCAAGTATGTAGTAGAGTACCAAGAATAAATTTGCTATCACATTTTCCCGCTATGTCATTAGTAATGAAATTGCCCATTTGCCACTGAAAATGATCTTGGGTATTATGAGAAGCATTTGAAATTACTACACTAAAATGTAAGATATATGTTAATTAATAAATTCTAAAAAACCAGAATTTATATTCTAATGCATCCACTTCAAGTGTTCCACAAAAAGTAACACTAATAAATTGCAATGACCACGTGTTTTGTTGACTGATTATAAAAGTGAATAATTTTGTAATACAGAACTCTTTAGGTGCCTAGCATTGCACTTCTTTCCTGCTGTATTCCATTTTTTATTTCAATCCCTCTCAACAACTTTATATTTTTTTGTTGTTGTTTAATTTTACTCAGACCTTGTTCTTTCTAAAAGAAACATTTTAATAAGTAAGTATTTTGTCAATGTTGAATATGTCTGGTGTATACACAGGAGTCATGCCTGCACTTTAATTTAGTGCAGCAAACTGAATGGCTCTTTGCATAGGCAGCCGTTTTAGTCTAAGGTTCTTGATTGATTGCCGTGGAAGCTCATCCTTCAACTTTAACACTAACAGAAGATATATTTGATAATGACGCAGTTCTCTACTAACATTAAGGAATTATATCAAATCGTCCTAAATAAATCGCCTGTACACTAAAGAAAGAATTAAATATATTTCCCCTACAACACTGCACCTAGAAAGACATCTGGTCAAAAAGAGAAAAACTTACATACTTCGGTGTTGGCAAACCCAGCTGACTCTGCCAATTCATGCTTAATGATTTAGAAGGACAATAATCCAAAACTAAATAGATGAAAATGTGTATATACTTCTTAGCTTTCTTGATTCCCACAAAAAAGGGTATGAGAAAAAGAAAATTAATCTAAAATTATACAACTTTTATGTCATTAAGATCATTAAGTCATTAAGACCCAGAGTAATTAAGAACCTCAGGTTTTCAGTCACTCCCTGTCTCTCTGCACTTAAGGCAACATGTTCTATCATTATCTTTGAGATGTAACTACCTTCATATAGATCCTTTCCAAAAGTTACCTTTAAAATCAGTATTTGCGAAAACAACCCTTACAAAAGTGATGGAACGGATCGATAATTTTTAAGGTCCTTTGGAAAGCTTTCAAAATAACTGATTAACAATCAAAAAGAAATTGGGGTAGTGAACAAATTATTCAAATCTCACAAGCATATGATGTTACAATTTTACCTGTAATTAAGTCAACTTCAGCAACATCCAGTTTTTATTAACTAGTAACTTAGTGGAAGTTGTCTTGGAATTCAAATTAGTTATAAATTATTCATGTAGACACTGAGTTCTTACTTGGTAATGTTATAGTTTCAAAAGCATTTTTATTACACTTTCCTATTTTCTTCAGTTGAAAGACTGCTTTTTGCTACTATTAGGCATGACTGACAATGTCATGACAAGTACAAAGCAACAAAATCAAAACTAGAGAGGAACAGAAAAGAGAATTAAAAAATATATATTTGAAAGTCAAATTATAATTTTTCTTAAAAAAGTACTGTCCTTTATATACAAAGTAGAAGCTACTGACTTTTATAGGGAATGTGCTGAGGTTGCTTTTACTATTCTTGCGCCCTTATATTCAATACCACAAAATAGTAGGACATTTGGCTACAGTAAAATGTGAGAATGAAGGCCAACTGATAAACACTGGGATCAAACTTGTAAATTTAGCCTAAGTGGGAAAGGGCATCAATTAAATGGGGAAACAAGATGCAATGTGTTTTTTAAATGAACTTTCAAAAAATTAACTGGAGCTTATTTGGAGGTTCTAGAAGTGGGGCACAGCTAATCATATGACCTTGACCAAAGATTGGTCCTCTCTTCAATGGGGAAGGTCATCCTCTTTGACTGAGAACACAGCTTCAGGAGGGAACCACATGGAGCAGTGAGGGAGGAAGGGAACACCCGTCTAGCCAGTCAGATCAGCCGAATCAACCCTGGCACCCAATGGGGTAACAGATGTTGCAACCAGAGAGAAAGGGCAGCGTAGATAAGGGGGTCATACATGTGGTGACAGAAGGAAATTTAATTTTGGGTGGTGACCAAACAATGAGATATACATAAGACGTATTATTGAATTGTACATCTGAAACCTATACAATATTATTAATCAATGTCACCCCAATAAATTTAATTTAAAAAGTTAATTAGAAATTATAAGTTTATGACTTACCCTTTTTGGATCTGTAAAGGCTGAAGATCTCCAATTGGTAAGCCATCTGAGGTAAAATATTTCAGCAATTCTTTAGCATCCAATAATGCAACTGAATCCCGGGCACCCTCTTTGTGGCCTAGCAGCTGTTCAGATGAATGAGGTAATGAACCCGTTCTGGGAAAAGAATGTTACATAGATTCATTAAAAGTGGGTTAGAATTCACTGTAGTAAGGAAAAAATGACATAAGCAGATATCGGAAAAATAAACAAATAAAATGGAAGAACTACACATTTAAGAAGAAAATAAAGTAAAATCTTTGCAAATTATTTAATATCAAAGTAAATTTTTAAAAACCTGAGGGTCACGGTGAAACTTACCATTACCATATCAACAATGCTTCTACTTAAATAATTATATTCTTTATAAATGGTGGCATGATTAATTATTTAGAACTTGAAGTTATCAAGTCTATAAATTTTAAATCGAAACTCTCTTGTATGTTCTGAAACTACAATATTGTAAATTTTAAAGGCAGAGACTGAATGTTCCAATTTTCTATGAACTTGAAAGATTACTTGAAGCACAACTATAAAATAAGGCAGTAACCAAAAATCTCTCCAAGGAGAGTCTAGCCATGATTATGACATTAGGAATAAGTACTGAATCGTTATTATACCTGAAATATATGTAGGACTTTATACTTTTCAAATTACTTCATATATACTACATTCTTAATCCTCAGAGACTTCCTTGAAAAAGACGGCATGGGTCTTACTTCAGAATCAAGTTAACACATGAAAATAAGTATTTTGAAAGTCGAAATCAACATACCAAGCCCAAAAAACATTCATTAGTCCTATTTGTCAGATAAAGATACTAACACACAATCTAGCATTTTTACTGGTGATTATATCATTTAAATGTTAACATTATGGGTTAGGACTTACATTTCTACACATTAGAGACTAATAATGTACCGACAGTGCCTCTTTCCCCTTCTCATTTCCTTTATTTTTAAAAATGAAAATACAAATCTAATAAACATAGCCAAACAAGAAAATACTCAAATATGTTCTATGAACTTTATACTCCAGGAGGGCAAGAACAACATTATGAATTTAATTTAATTTCTATATAGCTATTCTCTAATAGTAACTCACAGAGGTTTCTTAATGAAAATTACTCTCAATCATTTTACAAGCTAGGTATAATGGGGAAATGTATAATTTGCATTTATATAGAATCTTGGACACAAGAATATCAAAGCAATTTAAAACCCTGTTTGTGATAAATTACATTACCAAAATATGTCTTAGGTTAAAAAAAAAAGACAGTGACAATATTTTATTTTGTTCAGCATTTTCGAGCATACAAAGTAGTTTTTCATATTTTATCTCATTAAATTTTCACAATTTTGAGGTAGAACATCTTAAAGATGAGGCATCAAAGTCACACAACAGGTGACTGAATTTGTCTAAAACCACATTCTTACGACTTCTGAATTTCACTATGCAATGGTCCTTTATTCTCTGGTTAAACCAGTTTTAACACAAAATAAATTCTAAAAATATGCAACATAAGTTTTATCCATAACCAAAAATTTGATGGTATTGCCCCATATTTTGAAATGTCCACAAGTATTCGTTGAATATTTACTTTGTAAATATCATTGTGAGGTACTAAAGAGTTCGCTGGTGATAATTTATAACCTCATAAATCACTGCTTGTAGTTTAATGTATAGGTTGACTTAAAGTAGAAGAAAGAAGGTGAGGAGAGTGAGAGGAGATAAATATACCAATGAAGAATGAGATTAAAAATGTACAATAAAACAAGTTTCAGGAAAGAATAACACAGTCCTTGGCTGCGTAATAAAAAAGAAAACACTCAGTTGCGGCATTTATAAAAGCTTAAAAGAAAGGTGATATTTGATCTAGACCTTGAATGACAAGCTTCTAGTTCAAGAAAGTAGATTAAAGTCAGACATTAACTCTCCACTCAACAAACTGAAATCACAATGTTGAAGTACCAGATACTACATTCATAATAGGGTTGAGAAAAAGGAAAAATGAGTTCAATGAATATCAAAAATTTATAAACTAGAATAAGAGCTTCAAGAACTAGAGCGAAACCTACAAAATAGGTTTCTTCCCCTCCCACAAAGCTACAGTAAGATTCTATGAAACTTGGTTTCATAAAGTGGCAATGGTCAGAAACCGCTAGAACAGTTGTTTAAGTACCACTCTCCCACACACCTTACCCCCATGATTTTTACCTCTAAGAGAAGCTGTTCTCTGCAGATCCAGAACGATGTGCCTGTCCCAGTGTGAGTGGCGAGCCCCCTAGGATAAAGCTCCCTTATTCCAGTGTTGGGTGAAGGACAAAGGCTGCCTGTCCCAGGTGTCCTAGCAGGTGTCCTAAAGTGAGGCATGCTCTATCTTGCATCCTCTCCTCCCCCTAACAATAATTCAGATGACAGCAGATCAGGAACAAGACTATATACATATAAAGTGCATCTCAACTATCTATATAAAGCAGTCTAGTACTAAATTCTTAGCTATGAACAATCAGCTATGAACAAACAAAAACCACCAAACACTAGAGAAAAACTACACATAACAGAAAAACACCAAAGGAATGAAGAAATCAGATCCAAAGAATAATGAGATCATCCAATGAACAGATAAAACAAGTTGAAAGAAAGTTCTCATGAATAGCCTTATATTATTTTCTCAGTTCTCATCATTAATAAAAGAAAAACAGATTGCTAATCATAGGGTAGGAAACAAACAAGAATTATTAGGAACTTAAAATACGACTACCAAAAAATGTAACAGAGAGATGAAATCAACGGTCAGGGAAATATCCTAGAACATAAGGCAGAAAAAAGATGAACAAATGAATTATTGAGAGAAAAATGAAATTACGATGAAAAATCAATCCAGAATGTTTAATATTAGTTAAAATATATATTTCAAGAAGATAAGAAAAGTAAAAAAGAAAATAGAAGGGAGAATGTTCTTGAAGAAATAACAATATTTCTCAGACCAAAAAAGAAGATAAAAGTTTTAAGACCAAAACATCTCACATTATGATGGCCTCATGTAATTTCAGAACATTAAGCAAAAGAGAAAGTGCTTTAAGTTCCAGAGACAGAATAAAATGCTTATTAAGTAACAAAAATTGATCTGGCATTAGAATTCTCATTAAGATACAGGATCCAGGTTCCAGTCAAGATGGCAAAATAGGTAAACACTGTGCTTGCTTCCTTCCACAACCAAATCAAAATTGCAACTAAACTACAGAACAACGATCGTTGAGAGTCACCCAAAGTCTAGCTGAGCAGAAGTCCTATAAGTAAGGATATAAAAAAGAAGCCACTTTGAGACTGGTAGGAAGGGTGGAGATGAGGAACTGGCTGCTCCCACACCAGCGTGCAGTGGTTAAAAACTGGGATGGATATCTTCGCTGAGAAAGCACCCTGGAAGAACAAGGGGTCCAAGCCCCACACCAGGCTCCTCAGCCCAGGGATCCAGCACTAGGAAAAAAAGTTCTCATAACTTCTGGCTGTGAAAACCAGCAGAGATTGTGGCTGAGTGAGATGGAGAGCTGCTGGAGTCCTAGGTGCTTCTCTTAAAGGCCCCGCACACAGACTTGCTTGCTGACAGACTCACTCACTCTGAGCTCCAGCATGGGGCAGCAGCTTAAAAGGCACCAGGGAGATATGGGGAGGAAATGAGTTGTCTGGCTTCAGTGTGACGGCTAGAGGGGCAACTTTCTCCCAGACAGAAATGCTGGCAGATGCCACTGTTCCTTTGTTGAGCCCTCCCCCAACCCAGGCAGGCACCATATCTGAGTCTCCATCAACCTAGCTAACACCGCTTGCTCCATCTGGTAATTCCCTGAGAACCCACCCTCCCAACTTGCGGGCCCACTCAAGCTGCTTCCAGTGGCTTTTCCATACAAACAGCCAGTCTTCACTCACACTGCATGTGGACTTTCCTAAAAATCTTTCAAAGGTTCACAAACCCTAAACAAGCAGCATCTGGCCTCGGCATGCCCTGTACCTCTTGCTGAGCAACCCAAAGTCTATCACTAGGGGCAGCCGGCCTCAGTTCATGGCTTAGCCTCTCTCAGGCACCTCTAAGCCTAGCACAAGTGGCAACTACCTGCAGATCACTTTGTAGCTCATACCAAGTGGCCCCAGGCAGGGGCATAAGCAGTGGCTGATCTTGGCCTGCACCAGAGGCCCCAGAACCAATGCACCCAGTGGCCAGTTTTACACCACACTAGAACAAAACCCCACCACAACCACAAACAACACATCTAAAAAGCTGACTCGGGAGGCACTAAAGTGAATTCTGTTCCATAGGGTCAACCCCTACACAAGAGCTCCACTGTAGTCATGGCCAGTTCTCACAAAAAAATCAGCCTGAGGGTCAGTCCCTCCAACTGACATGCCAAAGCAATCAACACTCAACAGGAAGGCACACACTATCCACACAAGGAACACACCTGGAGCACACAGCTCAGGGGAACAGGAAGAATGTGCCACTGGACCACACAGGACACTAACTACATAAGGACACTCTACCAAGACCACAGACATAGCAGTTCTACCTAATACATAGAAATAAACATAGGGAGGCAGTGAAAATGAAAATACAAAAAAACATGTCCCAGATGAAAGAACAGAACAAAATTCCAGAAAAAGCAATAAACAAAATGGAGACAAGCAATCTACCAGATACAGAGTTCAAAATGCTGGTTATAAGGATGCTCAATGATCTCAGTGAGAACTTTAACAAAGACAAAGGAAATATAAAAGTGGGAATAGAAAACAAACAACAACAACAACAAAAACAGTCAGAAATGAAGACTACAATAACTGAAACGAAGTCTACATTAGAGGGAATCAACAGTAGATTACATGAAGCAGAGGACTAAACCAGCAGTTTGGAAGAGAAGGTAGCAGAAAGCACCCAGTCAAAATAGCAATAAGAAAAAATTATTAAAAAAATGAGGATAATTTAAGGGACCTCTGGAACAACATTAAACATACCAACGTTCGCATAACAGGTATACCAGAAGGAAGAGAGAGAGAGCAAGGAATTGAACACCTATTTTAAGAAATAATGACAGAAAACTTTCCTAACCTGGTAAAGGGAATACACATACAAGTCAAGGAAGTGCAGAGTCACAAGATGAACTCAAAGAGGCTCACGCCAAGACACATCATAATTAAAATGCCAAAGGTTAAAGACAAAGAAAGAATCTTGAAAGCAGTTAGTTACCTACAAGGGAGCTCTCGCAAGACTGTTAAATGATTTCTCAACAATAACTTTGCAGGTCAGAGGGATTGGCACAAAATATTCAAAGTGATGAAAAGCAAGGATCTACAACCAAGATTACTCTACCTAGCAAAGCTATCATTTAGAATCAAAGGAAAGATAAAGAGCTCCCCAGAGAAGAAAAAGCTAAAGGAGTTCATCACCACCAAACCAGTATTACTAGAAATGTTAAAGTGACTTCTATAAGAAAAAGAAAAAATAAATTAAAAAATACGAAAATGGCAATAACATATCTATCAACAATTACAATGTAAATGGATTCAATGCTCTGATCAAAAGACATAGGGTGGCTGATTAGATAAGAAAACAAGACCCATACATATACTGCCTACAAGAGACTCACTTCAGATCGAAAGACACACACAGACTGAAAGTAAAGGGATGGAAAAAGATATATCATGAAAATTGAAACGAGCATAAAAAGCTGGGGTAGCAATACTTATACCAGACCAAATAGACCTTAAAACAAAGGCTATCCCAAGAGACAAAAGAAGACCCAATAATTCTAGTTCTGGGTATTTATCCAAGGAAACCCAAAACACTGATTTGAAAAGATACTCTGAAGCAATAGTCAAGATATGGAAGCAACCTAAGTATTCATCAATACATGAATGAATAAAGAAGAATTGGTACATATGTACAATGGAATATTACTCGGCCATAAAAAAGAATGAAATCTTGTCATCTGCAACATGGATGAATCTAGAGAGTATTATGCTAAATGGAATAAGTAAGAGAAAGACAAATACCATATAACTGTAATTATATGAGAAATATATAAAAAACAAAATAAATGAACAAACAAACTCATAGATGCAGAAAACATTTTGATGGTTGCCAGATGGGAGGGAGTTAGGGTGATGAGATTAAGAAAAAGGGGAAGGGATTAAGAAATACAAACTGGTAGTTACAAAATAGTCATGGGGATATAAAGTATAGCATAGGGAATACAGTCAATAATACTGTAATAACTATGTATGGTGTCAGATGGGTACTAGCTTTATGAGGGTGATAACTTCATAAGTTATATAAATGCCTAATCGCTATGTTGTACAGCTGAAACTAATATGTTGTATGTCAATTATATTTGAAAAATAAAAGATATGAGATCCAAGAAAATATACACCTAATCTAGAAATGTGATCGAAAGGATAGCTCATGCTTGTAGATCAGAAAGAGGAATTCAATCTAGAAAGAAGACCGAGAGGACAGGTTATCCACAAAAAAATTTCAATTTCTCGTCTACCGATTTTAGGAGATATCTTTTAACTTACCATTGTGAAAGATGCACTAACAATAAAATTCATAATCTGTGTTGTGATGACCTATGAGGCCATGTGTGTCTGAATGTGCTTCATTCATTTATCTACTAGGTCTCCGCTCACATGTAACCTCCTGAGAGACCTGTCCCTAACCAGCCATCCTCATCTAAACTACCACACTTCCCTCTCCTCAACAAGTAAAATTATTCTTCCTCGGTCCCTTTGTTTCATTCATTACACATAGTTATTTATAATTATCATGTTTACTTGTCTGGTTACTTGTTTTCTTTCAACTGTCTCACCATTGAAAGGTAAGCTCTAAGAAGAGAGCCAACACGTAGTTGGTACTCAGTAAATATCTGTGGATATATATGAACAAAATGCTATAGCGAGTCATAATTGTTATCAACAGAGGGGCTAAAAATCAAAACATGATTTGCAATACTTTGGAGGAACTCAATGTAAGAGAGCTAAATTCTTCCTTTTATTCCATTACGTCATCATTCAACAATTATGTACTGAGTGTCTACAATTCAATGAACCAAAAAAAAAACAAAAACAAAACAAACTAAACAAAATAAATTCTGCCTCTTAGAGCTGGTTAAAAAGGTACTATATAAACATAAGAATGTAAAGCAGGAATAGTTTAAAGTAGCTGAAAGGAAAAGAGTACTTTTACTTCAGTTTATATGCTCCTGTATTGTTTAAATTTTTTTTAAATAGTCATATATTTATGTAAATCTATAAAAGATGATCTGAAAGGCCACTTACTAATATGTTAGCTGTGAGGATGTACTCCCTGGAAGTACAAGTAGAAGGTAGGAGAAAAAGAGTATTTTCTCAACATACTACTCTGTAATGCCCTATTTGTCTGTCTGTCTGACCATCTGTCCGTCCATCCGTCTATCAATCTACCTATCATTTATTCATCTACCTATCAACTTATAGTAGTTAAGCATATATTTATTTTATAATAAAACTCTAAAAATCTAATATCTCATAAACACAATGTAAGAAGTAAGAAAAACAAGTTCATTTAAAATATAATATTACCTCATTTTTTGCTTAGCTTTTTCAAACATTTCCAAATTTTGAAGAACATGCCTTTCTGGCCATTCCAGAGGACTGGTTTCCATTAGACTTAAAGAAATATGTTCCATGGGATTGGTGTCTAAAGAGAAAGAAATACACATTAGCACGGAAAAGTATTTACGTATTGAATTTTACTATATATGAATGTATACATGTAGATACATGCATACATCCGCGTGTACGTGTGTGTGTGTGGTGTGTGCACCGGTGTGTGTATAAAGGCATGTTGGATTCACTGTAAAATACTCACCTCAGGCATTTATTAAGATTATCTCTTATGGCCTGACCTGTGCGAATTGCCATAGAAGAACTTTTTGGAAATGAAAAGAAAATCAACATGAAGATTTATTTATTTTACTATCTCCTCATAATAAAAGTTCATCACTCAAGACCTATATCAAGTCCCTCAGCACTTGAGTTCTGTGACCACTCTATCCTAGTTAGACTCCTTTCTTTCAAATCTGTATTTATTTAACCAACAAATATGCAGCACTTACATCAGATGATTTTCTAAGTAATTTACAAATAAATTATTTAATTTTCATAGCAACCTAAGTCATTCCCAATTTAAAGATAAAAAACTGAGGCCCAGAGAATTTAGAAAACTTGTTTAGGTCACACAGCAAGCAAAATGCAGCGCTGGGGCCCAAACTTCTCAGTCTTGCTCCAGGGCCTATGCTGCAACCAAGATGCTATCCGCCATTTACAAGGAACCATACTCCAACGGGTAACCATACTCCAACAAGGAACCATACTCCAACAAGGAATCATATCTCCAACATCTTTCAGATTACTCTGCACTACTATTTAACTTTGGTACTGATAAGTAACAATGATGATAATGATAATACAAATAGCAGCTAACAATGTTTTTGGCATTTATTATGTTCTAAGTGTTTTTTATGTTATCAATTCATTTAATCTTCACAATAACTTTAGTAAGTGGGTGATATTATCCGTATTTTAAACATAAGGAAACAGAGGCATGGAGAGGTTAAATAACTTGACAAAGACATTCATTAAACAAGTGACAAAATTGAGATTTGAACCCTGGCAGTCTAGCTCCAGAGCCTGGGCTCTTGAACATGGCATTAGAATCTGTACGGCACTAGATGTTATATTTATAGTTCACTTTCCAAACAGATCATAAGCCTGTTGAAAGCTAAGGACTCACATTTTTACTCCTTTGTGTACCTTCATGGTGTCAAAGAGACAAAAGGTACTCAACGAACATTATTGTTAATTTGATTCTTTGGTCATTTTCTTATTAATCTATGGAATAAAAATGATTATACACAATTAAAAAAATTATCCTGTACATTTATAATGTGAGCAAAACTTCAAATGCTTTGCTAGACCTTGAAAAGCTTCACTCTATTCAAAATCATCATAACAAGAGGAGCTAGGAAAATAGAAAGAAATGCCAAGTTAATATAGAAACGATTTCCTGCTCCCTCAGTAAAGTTTGGTGACTGTTCTTGCTATAATGAATGGCAAATGTGCAGCATCTTATTATATATTGTTTTAACTATATTAAATTCACTGTATAAGTTCCACTTTTCTCACCTTATGAAAACATAGCTTACTAGAAATCCACCCAGTCTAGCAGCTTAGTTAAGAGTAAGTAGTAAGAGGGATAACCTTAAAAATGTCTCCCTCTGCTGAAAAACAATGCTTTCTGAAAGAAGTAATTAGAAAACGTTTAAATAATGAGAAATACAGCTCAGCACATATACATATATACACAGACACACAGACAGCCACACAGAGTAAGTCCTCATTTAACAACATCAATATGTTCTATAACTTTAAGAGAAACAGGACAAAACCAATTTTACCATAAGCCAATTGATATAAACAAAAGTTAAGTACCTTCGGCATCTCATCAACATTATGACACATAAGATTGAATGAAATGGCATTACTTGAGGATCTGCTGTACTTGTATGTACAATCATCTATCATTATTTAAATTCACAATATACACTTTTATTTGATCGACATATTTTATTCGTTTTAATAATAAATAATAACTGTTATAAATGCCACACATGCAAAAAACCTAATATTTAAGGTAATAAAAACTTACCATTTAACAGATTGGAAGGATTAATTTCGTCTGTCTTTATTAGATTTGTTTTAGGAATAACAGCATCGAAATGATCTAAAAAGTGTTTCCTTGTGAGTATTAATAGACTTTTGAGTTCATCAACAGAAACTACTTCAGACTGCTCTGCCAAGTTTCTCCTTTCTGTAAGACAATAAATCAATAGGATGAACCACATGGCTGTTGTTATAATCCTCCCTAAAGCACATCTACTACTATTTTATGGAAATAGTTTCAAAAGTAAAACAAGTGAATTTATCAAGTGAATCAGCGCTCCTGTGTAGGCCTACTTTCATTTTGATCGCATATGGAGGTAATGGTAGAAATTCCAGTTATATGAAAGAAACAGAAACGGAGTAGCTTGTTAACACTGAAGGTGATACATGGTAAAGGGAAGTTTACAAGTTTTCAGAAATGTACTGCAGAGCCTTATGCTGGCGTTTCTGTGAAAATTAAACTTGTAAGACTTTCGGTTAAATGTGGTAGCTTGGACACTTCCACCTATTTCTTCTCTTTCCCAAACCTAAAATCACAGTAAAGGAATAAGAAAAGACAACACAAGGAGAAAAAATAAAGAATGACAGTTTTAAACAAATTTTGGAAGACATATGATGACACAGTAGGTCAGCAGGTCAGCAAAGCAGAGGGTCAACTTGGGTGCCTGCAGAGGCACTACTATGGGGTAACAGGAAGATGGTGGCGAGGTCCTGGGCTGAAGGAGGGCCGGATACACGGATGTTCAGGGAGGGAGCAGTGAGAGCTAAAGGTCCCCGCCCACCCTATCCTCCAGTCTTCAGAGCCAGGTGACTGTTCTCATTTTTTGGTAGAAACTGAACAGTAAGAGTCTCAGACTATGGAGTATCAGATGTATTAGAAGGTGGTACTGATGCTGGGGTTAAAGCTAAGGGATTAAATAAGAACGGTGAGACTCCTAGCCCTGTGGCCAGAAAGCCAGCAGCTCCAAATGCCCCACTGAGAGATTAAAGGGTTCTCCTTTTGAAAAACTGAATGTCTCAAAAGAAAAGAGGTTGATACTGATACTGAAGAGATGGTAGGCCTAGGAACTTAGAACCAAAATGTTAAATTGTCACTCCACCACTCTACAAAACAGCTTGCCCGATACTATATTAGAGTGAGGCATAGAGAACCTCCAACTTAAAACAGGACCAAAAAAATCACCAGCCGCTTAAGGGGAAAGGTGTTGAAGGGAGAGGAGACTGCGTTTCCACGGTCCTATGTTTACATGTATAAGGACTGATTCAGTAATGCTTCCAGCTCCCTTCTTTCTCCCATCACTCATTGAGCTAGTGTGGAGAAGAAACTAGGCATGCTTTAATCAGGCCCCTTCCTCTCTTTTATTTGAGCTAGCAAGTCCTCAGAATGCATGCTCTCTGCAAGGTGGTAAGGGCCGCTCAGGGTTGATCTGCAGTTGCCTAGCTCTGGCAATCATTCCGGGGATAATGTCAATTCTGGGTGTACACATTGAAAAACCCACTTAGTCACAAATCTAAAAAGTCAGTTCCTTCAATACAGCTTTTACTTGTAATTTATCTCCATCTGTGTGTGTGTTAAGTTTATTTCTAATCAGTTCCAACTTTGAGAGGAAAAAAATGGCATTATTTACTGTACCCCCACAACTAAAAAAAGTCCAGGATGAAAAAGAATGACTAAAGCAAGCAAAGAGAAAAATGGAGCCCGGAATACACAAAAATGTTACAGGGAATGAAAGAAAGTTTGCTATAATTAATATTCTTGTAGAAATAAGATACTATACCCATGAAAAACATGTAGGATGCTCTGATAAAAAAAATAGTCAATGAGCAAGAAAAGACTTTTAACAATTAAGCCCACACAAGCTTAAATTTAAAATTCCATAAAAAGATATAAATTAGAACAAAAAGATAACATGTAAATGGAAAGGAAAAGTAGGCATTCTCTCCAGGAAAGCCAATATATGACTAATAGGACAAAGGAAGGAAAGGAAGGAAAGGAAGAAAGGAATGGGAGAAAGGAAATTATTAAATATACACGAAAAATTTTCAGACTTAAGAATGTGAATCTTCTATTAACACGGTTCATTAAGTACAAAGCCTGAGAGAGAAGAGGAGGAGAATATATATATATACACTATGATTTTCAGTAAAACTTTGAGAGACAAAAGTTTCTGGAGATAAAGGTTCCAGAAAGGCATAAAAACAAACCAAAATGCAGACACTGCAAAGGACAAGAATAGCATTCGATTTCTCAACAGGAACACAGCAGCATAGAAGACAATGGAGCAATGTCTTCAAAATTCTGAGAGTAAATGACTTAAAACCTGGAATTCTATATAAATTCTATATGAATTATCAAACAAGTAAAGATACATTGATCATCATTACATATTTCATGACTCAGCAGTAAACTTGTTATAGTCATAGTAATGTTAAAACTAACCAATGATTTAACCACAAAATTCATGACTTCACTGTGAAGGGTGGGAAGGGAAAGTAAAGACGATGTGGGAAAGCTAAGTCTTTATCTTCCACAGTTACATGTTAAGATGATGCCTGAAACTCGGAAGTCAAGAAACAGCATACATGTGTTATTTAGAAAACTGTAGGGGAAATGTCAGAAAAGCT